TATACATACATAATTAACTACGAAAGGATCTATTAACGAAGTCTTGTCGTCTCTGCTCTGCTAAGGCTAGAGATAGATTGTATGAAATTGCCCTTGAGGGTGCCCACGCCTCAGGTACACCTAAATCGTGTTCTTTCTCTCCTTCGTTTGAGTGAGAGGATGTTATTAAGAAACTTTATATATATATATATATATATATGTATGGAACATTAACTACGAAAGGATCTATTAACGAAGTCTTGTCGTTCACGCCTCAGGTACACCTAAATCGTGTTTTTTTTCTCTCCTTCGTTTGAGTGAGAGGATGTTATCAAGAAAATTGATAGAAAAAATGGGAAACCTGCATCTTTTTTACAGATGTTGAAGGTATTCAACTTGTTTCCTCCTGTCGATCGAATTTAGTCGGGAAACTTCTGTATGGTCATCCCAAAATTAAACAGTTTTGTAAAGAATTTGAGTTTATGCACCTAGTTGATGAGTAAAAATTAGACTGTTAGATGGAATACACATTCTCATATAAATTAATAATGAAGAGGATTACACGCGTTTATTTGCTAGAAGGATAATTTTGATTCATAACAGAGGATTGATAACAGAGCAATGAAAATTATAAAATTTTCTATAAATTTAACTCCCAGACGGAACCTCCAATCATTCCAGTTTGGAAGCCTCCCTGGTCTGAAATTTCATTATTTTACTCAAAAAGTTTTGAACGCTATTGCCTCAGCTTATGATAAGCCACTCAAAACGGACATTCCTAACTTTAATATTTCTCGTCCATCGGAAGCCAGAGTACTTGTTGAAAGAGACATCACTTCATCTGCTTCTGAGGAAATTTGGTTGGGCACACAACATCATTGGCATTGGCAAAAGGTAGAGATTGAGCATTTTCCTTCGTATTGTTCAAACTGTTGTATGTTCGGTCACTCTAATTCTCAATGTCACCATCTAAATCCACACCTCAAACCAAAAAAACACAATGCTCCGCCAGAGACAGTGATTTTATCTCCTCCTGATCAGCTCTAAGTTATTGACACTATTGATCATCAAAAGTATACTCTTGAAGACGCCACTATTCTCGCAGGCAACAAGACAATCATTCGGCCGTCTCTGGAACCTTTTATCGTGGGAAAGAGGGAGATTCTTCGGACCCCACTTGTCCTAGAACATATAATTGTTATTACAGATGTCAATACTTCTACTGTTTCACTACCGCCTAATCAGGTCAAGCAAGCTGTAAAAGTTACTCAGGTACATGGGGATCATGTTGTGCAACAACCTACACCTGTCCGGTCAACTTTGGAACAATTTATTGATCAGATGAGTCAATCATCGGATGAGGAATGACAGGTCTATACATCCAGGAGGAAGAAGAAGAATGAAGACCTACTTGAGCTCAAGCATCTGATGGATGATACTTTGGTTACTTCGGGTAATGGCACTCACCTTACCAATTTGTTAGTCAGCTCAATTCTGAGAACTAGAGGCAGATGGAGGACTAAAGTGGGACGTCCGCAGCACTTTTGCGCCCTTTAGTGGCTTTTTGGTTTTTTTACTTATATGTATCTTTGTTTTATTTATTCTTTGGGTTTGGTGTGTGTTGTATTGTGTGAGTTGAGCTTTCTTTTAGACTATCTCATACAAACTATCTGTACCTTTTCCTCTTTAATTTATTAGCCCTTGGGATTTTCAAAAAAAAAAAAATCTGCCACAAGCCTTGGTCTGTTGGTGGCGGGGTAACTGAGCAAAAAAAGAGCCATACACGAATGAACAAATCTTCCTTCGTGTTTGGCTTGTTTATATATCGAGCGCAAAAAAACTGTTTGTATTCAGCTCGTTAAATTAGCGAACGAATTGAACACAAACTTCTTAACGAGCCGAACATCAGTTTTCCACAAAAAAAACGAGCTATTTTGACAGCCCTACTCTTCTCTGCATCAAAAAGAATTGATGGCAAGGTTTAACTTTTGCTGAGAAATTAATCAAGTTTAAATCAAACCTGAAATGATCTAGACATGAGGCAAAACACACAATTTTATTATGTAGGTCCATTAAAATGAAAATATGAAAACTAAAACTAGGATAGTGATCAACCATTAAGCCATATGTGCCTACAAATGCCAATAGGAAAAACATAAACTATAATACCCACATTAAGAGACTTATTTTTTATGCATAAAAAAATGGGGATCGACCTCACTAGTTGGTATAAGGGTATTATATTTCATATCATCCCCCTCATTATCATTAGTCTTATGGTAACTACATAAGATAAATTTTACCAATCCTACGCCAGTAATGCCTAATTGAGTGGTACAAAGTAGATTAATTTTATTTGGTGCAGCAACATTATTTTTAAAGAGCTAGGCCCTTTTCTTTAGTATTATGCATGAGGCATGAATAGCTCCATCCATAATATTTGATTTAATAAATTCAATACAAACATAGTTTTTGGCTCACAACAAGATCAGCCAAGCACCTAAACATAGACAATACCTAAACTTTATAAGAAACTATACTTTTTATTTGTCCCGTTCTTGTTAAAAGTAAGGAAAAGTCGAGCAGGCCAATGTGAAGCTGATCAATTGAGGAAGGTGCAAAGACCTACTATTAACAATCAAAACTCTGCCATTATTTTGACATTGTTTAAGAACAAAGATTTTCAAAAATGAAATTGCTATCAGCATGGCTCGTCTGTACTAATGAACCACTTAACTAAAATTGAAAACATTAAGCCATTTGAAAGCTAATTTGCATGCATACACCAGCTAAATCCCTACAAAATAACAGAAATCAAAATTTACAAGAAAAATCTATAGCAACAAGTCTTTATGACATATAGCAATAAGAATACAGCCAAGAGTTTTATTCTAGAGATATACTTCTCTGTGTATCCTACTAGTCCCAATATACCATTGAAACTAGTTGATTTTGGAATAGATGTGTAATGCTCATTATTTGAAGACGTTGCAATTAAAACCAAATGATAATTGCCAAATAAATAAAATCTGGCAAAACACAAGCAAATACATACTCAAAACAATTATCAATAAGCACAATTCAAGCATAAAATTGAACATTTAATATACAGTAGATATTTTAATTAACCTTCATCATAGTCTCGATCTTTCCACTTTTTCCAAGAAAAAGCAGAAGTTGATTTAGAAGCCCAACAGATAGTAATGAGAGTGAAACCTCCATGTTTTCAACTAATTCACTCGCCGTTTTCCAATCCCTTAGACTAGGAAACAAACACAAATGAAAAGTTATTCAGTCATAGCATCGTGCCTCGAGGGATTAGTCAATGTAGAAGCACTCTAAGCAAATTAGAGTATCAAATCTCACTCCATTAACAGCAAAATAAAAATATAATGACTGGAATAACATGGTGCGTGAAACATTGCATGTTAAATTTTAACTCATTTTAAGCATTTCAATGTGAAAGAAAAATTTTTAAATTTGGTTTTTAATATTTTTGAGGCAATTATGTAGGGATCGAACAAAGTATTTACAATGAAAATTGTGAAAAATTGAGCTAGCTCTCTTGATCAACCCAAAAATTTGTAATTTTGATAAGAAATAGAAAAGTTAAGGCCAAAATTCTAAGAGGAAGCAAAAGAAAAAAAATTTAAAAAACTTGATTCAAATGTCAAATTTAATTATGATTAATGTAAATAATGTTATTTATGATAAATAATAGCATTAATATAAATTAAAGTATTATTATTAGTAAATTTCATGTTTGATGCATAACTTTTGAACATAAGATATGACTTGTGACATGAAGTGAAGGAGAACTAATTTTGTAGCGAAGCAAGCGATTGAGAAAGAAATAATTTTAGAGAAATGCTTTTAGAGCAAAGAGGTTGAGGAAGAAAGTAAGGGGAGTAGTGGAGGAAAAAGGGAAAAAGGAAGAGTAAGCTATTATATCAATTGGAATGTTTTTGTATACAAATTTCTTAGAATATCTTGTAACGAGCCACCAAAAGCGGCAAAGAATTTTCACATAATATAGGTGATGATCTCCTAACCAGAATTACTGTATATTGTAAGCCCTGACGAAGTGAAAGAATTAATGAAACAAAATGAATGTCAAAAAAAAAAAAACAAAGACGAGAAATGACATGCAATGACAAACTAAATGAGATGCTATGACATGCTTCACATTGCTTCACATGCCATGTAATGTTCAACATGTTGTGCTTACTCTGTCTAAACTGTTTTGCACGCTTTACCAAGCCATAAATAGAGGCAGCTTTACTTGTAAATCATGCTGTCAAATGAAACTAAAAGAAATGGAGTTTATTCATCCTCATAGCCTCTTATAAAATTTATACACTGCTTTAAGTAGAACTGCTCAACCTGTATAGCACATGTAATGTGAAAAGCAAGCTTTTGATATAAGCTTGGAATTGCCTATTGAACCATGGACTCACCCTGATATATACGTTGACTTTCTTCAAACAGAATGCTCATCATGCAAACATTGACGGATTAGAATATGGCATCGGATCATGGACAAGCTAGCTGGATATTAAATGGGTGCATCATTAACTAGTGGCAATTTTATTTTTAGCATGGAAGAGCTTGTGTTGGAGTTCCCGGTGATATGCATTGTAATATTGTGTCTTAGACCTTCGGAGATGAGTGGATATCATAATTAGATTTCCATTAATGTACTTGAAGATAATCTGCATTGTTGATTGGACTTAGTTGGTCTATAATGTCATTTGTGGATAAAAATTGTTTATGCAATTGCATGCATCAACTGAATGAACTGTAAATTGTTAGTGTTGCAACCATCAAGTCATTAAGCTATTAATATTTTTAGAGCTGATGAGGTCAAAGCGTGATAGATAATGGCATAGAAAGCCAAAAAATGGTAATAATAATAATAATTGGAAATCAAAGATGTTTCTACCTACCAAAATGCAATTACGTTGTGCGAACTTGCATACTACAAGCCAATTGTTACTATTCTCAAAAGGAGGCATGTGACTTTCAAGGGTGTAACTAACAATGCATCAAATGTGGTAGTGCTGCTAGCAATGTTGAAAGGTATAATGACTCCGCATGTGATAGAGGGGTTCCAAGAGACAAAATTTTAAAATGAAAAAAAGTGTCAAAATAGTCCCCTAACTCTTTGCAAAAGTTCATTTTAATCCCAGAGTAAATAAAAGTGTTAATTCAGCCCCCACACTTTTGATATGGGCTCAAACAATCCCCATGAAAGGTAATTTCAACCCCAATTTGAAGAGAAGGGACTAATTTAATACTTTTATAAACACAGCGACTAAAAGGTCCTCATTCAAACAAATAAGGGAATATTTTGACACTTTATACATTTCAAATTACATTAAACTCAACACTATTTTGTGAACTTACATGCTACAAGCTGATACTATCTCAAAGAAGGCGCGGGAATTCAGGAGGATGTTTTCTTCCCTCATGATCTTCACTAATTGAAGAACCAATGCTGGTTGGCATCCTCTATTGAGAACTTCCATGAGTGCTGAGCATGCAATGGGATCCGGTTGGATATTATTCACTTTCATTTCCACGAAAACATCCCATGCCTTCCTCCAGTCATCTAAAACAATGCAAATTAAACAGACTTTTCCCTCCAAAAAAGTATTCACAAATAGTTCGTGGAAAGTTATTATCTAAGTAATGTCACCTGTTGTACGGTATGCACTTATCATGGAAGTGTACGTAATAACATCAGGTAGACAACCACAAGCCTTCATCATTGAAAAAGTTTTTTCAGCTTCTGCTAAGTTTCCCTAACAAAACAGAAAAAAAAAAGCTTAATGAGGACAGAGTGGGGCTATCTGGTTTGAAATCTAAAGGCATTAGTGAAACCCACTAACTTACCTGCTTAATACGTGCACAGATTAGAGAGGAATACACTTCCTTGGATATATGAATGTTTAGTTCTTTCATCTCATCCAAAAACTCAAAACAGTGGTCAAAATTTTCTAACTTACAAGAACCATATATTAATATGTTGAATGTGGTAGAATCAGGTCTCACATTCTTCTCCATCATCATCCTATAGAAAGCTACGGCTTTGCCGTACTCCCCAACCGCCATAAAACTCCCAATAGCCGAATTATGTGCAGTGGTGTTCATTTCAATGCCTAAGGACTTGGCCAACGAAAGTATAGAGTTGATCTTCCCAATCTGACCACAGCGGCCACAAGAAACCAGGAGAGTACTCAAAGTGACATTGTCTGGTTGAATCCCATTCCCTTCCATTTCACGAAGCACCCGAACGGCCTCAGAAAGCATTCCCGCAGATCCATAAGCATCAATCAACGCATTGTAAGTAATTATGTTTGGCCTACATGAGCGCTTTCTCATCATGTCAAAGATTTCCCGAGCCTTTTCGTACAGTCCGGATCGACCATAAGCATTAAGCAAGGAAGTATAGGACACAACATCGGGTCGGTAGCCTGTTTTCATAATTTCATCGAAAGTTGCAGATGCTTCTTCATGCATTCCATGTGAAGCATAGGCCGCCATAAGGGCGTTAAATGAAACAATGTTTGGTTTCATCCCTTCGGCAAGCATCATATCGAACACCGTCTTACAGTTCGCTACTTGTCCGCAAATAGAATATGCGTGCATGATGCTGGTAAAGGTTACAACATCAGGACGACATTCTGCTCTTTTGTTTATTAGTGAGTTGAATATTTCGACGGCTCTTCCGTATTGTCTGAGCTTGACAAAGCAATGTATGATGATGTTAAAAGTAAATATGTCTGAAGAAATATTTGTTTTCTTCATCAGTTCGAAGTAAGAGAGCGCTTTGGCATATTGGCCGCCACTTTTAAAAGCAGACAAAATGATATTGTGAGTAACTAAATCTGGTCCAACGCCATTTTCTGTCATTTTCTTACAAATCTTTAATGCCTCTTTCCAGTTACCACTTGATCCACAAGCATTTATCAAATTATTGTAAGTAGATCGAGTGGGTGGAATCTGCGAACAAAATTGAGGAACTTAAACTAAAAGTTAAACGTATTTGAAACATACCAATTTCACATCTGTCAAAATCCACAATTGCAAACCTTTTGAGATTACAGACCATGCCAACAAGCTCGAATTGCAGTTCTTTTAAAGCCACATTTAGTGTATATTGAGTTCGTTGGTTTGGAGAATTGAGTCAAATACTTTAATTGATACAAAATATTAGCTTAAATACAACTTATAAGAATCCTAAACTTAGGAAAGAAATAGCACCCATCTCTCCAAGATTAAATAAAAATCAAATGAAATAAAATAAAAACAAAAACTCTTATAACAAGCCGAAAAAAAAACATAAATAGGAAATAAAAGGAAATAAATAAATTCCTAAAATAACTTCAATCAATCCCCTCGAGTTGAAACACAGATGTCAATCATGTTCAACTAGGACTTGAAATAATCAAACAACGGACGAGTAAGATTCTTTGTAAGAATATCGGTCAGTTGCCCAACAGATTGGTTAAACGGAACACAAATCTCTCGAGAATCAAATTTCTCCTTGATAAAATGACGTTCAATCTCCATATGTTTGGTATGATCATGTTGGATCAGATTATGAGCACTACTAATGGTGGCTATATAGTCACAAAAAGCTGCAGAGGAACGGTGATCGGCATATGTAGTAGCATGATGCGCAACCAGGTGCTTTGCACACCCAAAGACATAGAGTGAAACTCGGCCTCACCACTACTAGGAGCAACAACTGACTATTTATTATTTTTCCAAGCGACGAGATTCCCTCACACGAAGGAGCAATAACCCGAGGCAGATTGTTGATCTTGGACGACCCAGCTGATCAGCATTCGTATAAATCGCAATAGAGCAAGAAGTGTGATAAGTGAACAACAAACCCAAGTCCGGTGTGTCTTTTAGGTAGTGGAGGATCCGATGAAGAACGGTGAGATGACGCTCGTAGACGTCATGCATAAATAGACTTATGACGTTAATGTCATGACAAATTTTCAGGTGCGTATCAGCCAGGTAAATAAGCTTACTAACGAGGCATTGGTAGCGTGTTTTGTTCAACTAAACGGTATTGGGGTCCAACGGGACTGTTACCGGTTTGCAAAGAAGTAGATTAATCTCGATTAATAAATTTATCACATATTTGTGCTAGGAAAGACAAATACTATAGGAGATGTTGTTATTAGCATCTGATATTTGTGTTAGAATTTTTCGACACAAACATTAGTGTTGAATTTACGACTGTTGATATTTGCTGCAGATTTTGCGTCCAATTTGTGTCACACAATTCAACGGAAAAAGCACTCTTAAAATGACAAAACATTTATTGTAGATATGATGGATTTAGCGTTGAATTTGCGTCAAACAAAGTGATGCAAAAACTTTAATTGTTAGCATCGAACTAAACCAAATGCAAATTAGACGGAACACGGACATTTCTTTCTTCGAGCTCACTTTTGATCTCATCGTCTGCCTGAAACCCTTGCAAGCTCCCCCTCCCCTTTCCCTCTTCCTTCTGGTTTCGCCCAAAACCATCGGCTTCCCGAACAAAGCTTCGCAATACAGTTGCCATTAGAGCTAGATGGGAAGGTAAAGACGTCCGACGATTAGAGCTTACAAAGAAGATTGAACTCCCTCAAATCATAAAGCACTGAAGGTGTGTCTACTTGCGCCACTATTTTCAGTTATTTTTGTTAAGTATTAAAGTTTAGGTGTTAGGTTTGTATAAACATAAGAATTGAGTGATAGGTATGAATTAAATGCATAGTTAATATGTTATGTATGTATAAATTGAAGTTTTGGTGTTAGGTATGTATGGATATAAGAGTTCAGTGGTATGTATGTAAATATTTAAGTTTAGGTGTTCAGTTTGTATATGCATAAGAATAGAGTGATATGTATTAATTAAATGCATGTGGTATGTGCGTATAAATTGAAGTTTTGGTGTTAGGTATGTATATATATTAAGGGAATGTTATTATTAAGACTCGCGTTGATTGGTTGAAGTGGAGGAATGCATCGAGTCTATTGCTAAAATGATCGTAATATAGGAATATTGTTATTAGTAGAATTAGAGTTGGTTGATTGAAGCGGAGAAATGCATGCATCGATCCGGTCTATTGTTCAAAGTGATGGTGATATAGATTGGGATGCTATTAGTAGAATTCAAGTTGGTTGGTCATGTTCATAATGATGGTGATAGAGAAAGAAATGTTATTAGTAGAATTCACGTTAGTTGGTTGAGGTGGATGAATGCATGAGGTCAATTGTTTAAAAAATAAACCACTTCAAAAAAGTGTCTTATATATGGTTGACCATGTAGTGTCGACATCACTGGATAAAGCGAGCTACTTAAAAGATATTCCTAGGATCATTTTCTTCGATTAGAATTAGCTCCTAAGAACTATTAAGCATAACCATCTATTGTATACATTGATAAGTATTGACTAATTTGATACCACTTGTCACCTCCCAAAAGAACCCTTAAGAGAGATGGGCAGCCCAGGACTTAAATACTGTTTTTCGGCCCTACACCTAGCCGATGTGGGATTATTTATCCTTGACATTCTCCTCCACCCAATCACGTGATGCCCTCGTCACAGATCGGCTCCACCGAGGGTCCCACTGGACCATAGAAAGTCCACACACCTGGCAGACAGTAATCTGCTCTAATACCACTTGTCACCTCCCAAAAGAGCCCTTGTGGGTAGTGGGCAACCCAGGACTTAAATGTTGTTTTTCAGCCCTACACCTAGCCAACGTGAGACTATTTATCCGTGATATTCTTCTCCACCCAATCACGTGACGCCCTTATCATGGATCGACTCAACCTAGGGTCCCACTGGACCATGGAGAGTCCACACACCTGACATGTAGTAATCTGCTCAGATACCACTTGTCAGTAAAGCTACATCTATGTTGCGGATGAATATTCGTAATTTGAGAGCTTAGATATATAACAGATTATATCCATGATCAAAATGACTAACAGATGAGTTCTTAAATTGAGTTGATAAATTTATATAAGTGGCATCACTACTGCCAATCTATCGTTTAGATGGTATGTTTCAGTGTCATTGTGTGAAGCACAAAAATCAGTTATTTCTGTCACGTAAAGAATTTGGTTGCAAAATTTTAAAATTTCACAAAGGCATCATATTTGAATTATGTTTCATCCCTATGAGCCTAAGTTCGAAAACCTAATTTTATATTAATATTTTCAAAATATATACGCCCAAGTCTAAAAAACTAGCTTTTAAAATATGTCTTGTGAACTTAAATTTTAAAATCCAAATTTTAATATTTTAAGCACTAGGAGTCTGTTTAAAAAGCCCTAACAGTGTGTTTTAAAAGCACAAAACTTTAATTTTTTTAAACTTCAAGAGCCTAAATATTAAAAACCCATATCCCCGATATTTTAAACCCTAAAAGCCTATATTTTAAAAGCTTAATTTCCGAATCATTTTAAAATTTCAATGACTTAAATTTCATTTTATTTTATAAGTTCAAACTTTTAAATACTTTGAAGTGATTACAAGTTCAGATCATCAAAATTTTTGTATGTCTCTCAACGTCAACCCCGGTTAGGGGGCATGAGAGAACTTTAGTCTTCCCAGTTATCTCAAAAGACTCATTGAACAGTGTCGTAAGACACTGCGATTGGGAAGCAAAACTAATCATTTAACTTGCAAACTCAAAAAATGCAACGAGTCTTCCATATAACTGCAAAAAATTTAAAATTTAAAATCAGTATTCCCCAAACGATACTTTACTTTCCCAAAACGGTAGTTAATTCCAGTGGTGCAATCAATGATGAAATCCCAATGATGACTTCGGTGTGGAGAAGATGGAAGAGAAAGAAGAGATGGGATTAGAAATGGAAATTTAAGTTTTTGTATGTCGAAATCCCAAATTTTCTTTCCCGACTATCCAATTGCAACTATAACATGAAGGTTTTGGGCACACGGAACGCACAAGGAAGCGAGGGCGGTGGAGGAAGACATGGAATTGCAAAAGGCTTGCAATTTTGTTTGCAACGAGGCGAGAGACAATGGAGACGATCAAATCAATCCTGTAGCAAAATGGTGTAGTGTTCTCCATGGCAAAAGATAGATGAAGAGGGAGGCGGCTTGTAGCTTTGTGAACAGAGGGACTTGGTCTTGTACTCACTGAGAAAAAGAACGACTAAGAAAGTGAAGGATTAGTTTGAATAAAAAAGTTGTGGTGTGTGAACAAAGAAGAAGAAACACCGAGAAAATAGATAGAGGATTTGTCATTATGTTGTGTGACTTTCGAACAAGAGGGTGAACGGAGAGTTGATCGCGAGAGAGGGCATCGTGCATGACCATAAAATGAGTGACAGAAAGACAAACGGTTTCGAGAAGGGAAGAAGTGGCATAGATAAACTAACACAAAAGCGGAAGGTTAGAGATGCGGAAATGAGAAGTTACCAAGCCTATCGTGTGGCTTTTACTTCAGACAGAGACATGAACGGTTATGTCATCGAATGAGAACGGAAGCATACAAATATTTGAGGATTTAATATTAATTAAGTTTAATTAAACTAATTAACAACATTAATAATTAAAAAAAAATTATTTTCTTTAAAAGTTCAACAATTCATTCTCCACGATCCCCGTTCAAACTGAGGGAGGGCAACTCTAAATAAGGGAAGAGCTTAACTAGTCGATGAATGTCAAAAGAGTTATTCTAGTATTTTTAGATTGATAAAAAAATTACCGGGTAATTTCCTAAAATAGCTATATAGTAGAAACATCTACTTTCCTTTTAGGCTAGCATGTCGGAATATAAGTAGGCTCCATTGTAATAAACCGAACCGTAAAATGCTAAGTAAACTGACTCAATCCCTACATTTAAAGTCCCCATTCACACATCTCTCCTCACTTTCTCATATTACCCCTATCTTAATGTGCCTTAACTTGCAATCGATGTGTGAATCTCACGCTATCTCATTAATACCTTAGCTCACTCAATTTAAAAAAGCAAAGGCAATGTCTTCATCCCTTGTCATCCCTCCACAACCCCCAAGTCTCTTCAATCGAGCCCACCTCCCTTATATTATGGACCTACAACAAAACCCATCCTCCAACAACAAAGATGTTTCAAAATTATTCATTCATTTCTACTTAATATCTCTGAGGAGATTCTCTATGGTAGAAGTATTATTTTTGGAAGGATAAATGGTTAACTAAGTCTCACTCACCTCTCAATTCAATAATATTCTCTCATTTGCTATAAATTATCATTATGTTGACTTTTATCATTCTACAAATTGTGGTTGGAATAGTTTAAGAAAAGGAATTATTTATTTGCATCTTAATGGGAGAAAGGAACAACATTCCCTTATTAATCAATTTAAGTTGGATCATAATCAAGATATCCCTTCTTAGCTTCATCAGGGGATAGCTCCTCTCTCAGCACATTGTATTAGTTTTGGATGAGTAGATGGGCGTTGCTGCTCTACAATGCTCTTTGATTTTGAATTTTATTGTCCCTCACAAAACTAAAGTATTTGCATGATTCTTTTATATGAGAAAATTCATAATAAAGTTTCTTAAATTCCACAAAATGTCTAAAGATGGCTTGCTTCTTTTATTATTATTCAAGTTGTATTTTATTACCTACTATTTAGTTTCCAATACCTTTATATGTCTATCGTTAATTAATTGAGAGTTCACAATTTGAAAGACAGTTGAGTTGAGTTTTTAGTAAGTGTAATTACTTGGATCTCAAATAAATTTGGAATTTTATGTTGTTCAACTTGAGATAAGTATGTTTTATTTATTAGAGGATAAATATACTCTCAAATTATTGGCATTATCCTTTTTGAAGGATTTGTTTTTAATGACTATCTTAACAATATTAGAGATCCTAAGATATTTTGTAGATTTTCAGCCCTACATTTAATACTTAAGTTAGCTATACATATTTTGAAGGATTTGTTTAATGTTGTGTTGACCTCACTTTTGGGTGAGGGTTATGGGTCTTTCCTTTAGTGATTAGGATCTACCCTTAAGACTTTCCTAATGACTATCTTAGCATCTTAGAAATGGTACCTCCCTTCTCTTTAGACATTTCAACTAAATCCCTGTTATCTATATTGGTTTTATATGTGATCAATAATCTTTAATACAAAGATTAAGGATAATATAAGGGAGTCCTGATGAAAATTCTTATAGGACCTATGAACCATAGTAATGTCTTGCACTGTTCTACAACTTTTTAGACTTCAAAACATTACATCATCATTCATAATCATCATGATCATCATACACATTGTATTTTCATATCATAATGTTGCAATCACTACACTTATGGGGTTTGACCAAAATTATTTGTACCAAGTTTCCCCTAAAATAACCCATTTGAATATTCTAATTCATTCAAAATTCCAAAAAAAAAATGTCATTGAATCACAAAACCCACTTCAAACCATTTGATATTATTATTTAGACTATTTGAAACCCAAAAATTACAAAAATACCCAATTTTCCCAAAAATTACCAAAATGCCCCCAAAATATCAAATTTTCCAAAACCTCCGAGAGTCACTGATAAGTCTTAAAAATCACACCAAATCATTCATTATGTCTTCCTAAGAATTTTGGTCATAATATTGTCATACTTCATGATAACTTTTTGACACTTCGACACAAAAATAACAAATACTTAAAAAAAACTTTGGGGATCATAAAACCTTCCACATTCATCGAAAATGACCCTGAACACTGTCGTTTGACTCCAATTTTCTTCCATTTCTTCCCGAACCACCTCGAGCCTTTAAATCAACATTTTGACCAATTTGATCAAAGTCGATCAAAATTACAAAAATGTCACTTATGGACAAAAAAATTCTCAAATACTCCAAAATCATCTCAAACACCCCTAAAATCAATTCTTGACCATCCATTAGGTCGAATTGTTACATGAAATCATATGGCTCACTCATGAAATCATATGGCTCTTCTTAGTAGCATGGCGATTTTTGTCAAAGTAAGTCATCTCAAACACTCCTAAAATACTCTTAATATTCTTAGTAGCATGGTGATTTTTGTCAAAATAAGTCATCTCAAACACTCCTAAAATACTCTTAATAATATTTTCAAACTTGTATCAACATGACACCATACAAAGCTTTTTATGATAGAAAATATAAATGCCCTTTGTGTTAGTTTAAGGATAGTGAGAGAAAACTCATAAGATCTCAAGTAATGGAGCATGCTACTAAGAAGAGCCATATGATTTCAAAAGTGAAATGTAGTTTTCTCAGCTACCTTTAAAGTCAAGAATGCAAGCTCTTAGAAAATCTTATAATAAGGAAATAAAATGCTCTAATTGACGGTCTATCTAGGAATGAAACAATCTTATGAAATACAATATCTTTGTCAAAGTAACTTATAAATTCTTGCAAAAGCCAAAAAGTAAATCTTCCATCTCAATCAAATATAACAATGATAGAAATTTCATGAAATCAAATAAAGTTATATATGTAGATCTTACTAGTTTCCGCACTAAGTTTTTGCTTAAATCATAAAAAGTGAGCAATTTGGGTGAGTCTATTAACCATAGCACAAACTAAATCTTGACCTTGTTAAAATCTAAGCAAGTCAAACTCAAAATCCACGACAATCACATCTCACTTTCATTATGGGCAATCTGAAAGTCAAACAGTTGGCTATCAATTGTAGCACATCATTCTTCATGCCAGGATACCAGAAAAACATTTTGAGGTCTTCATATTTTTTTTGTATACGATAAACAGAACACAGTGTAAGCCAAAGAATTTATTGTCAAAGCCCTGTTTGATCTAAAGCACAAAACCGATAGTTAAATCTCAATGATAAGATAACACTTGTTACATTTTACTACATTGTAAATCGTCTCTTTTATTGTTCATATTGCATGCTCAAATATTTTATTATTTAAGTTTTAATAAATAGGAGTTGTTTACTAAGTTTTGAATAATGAAAACCATGACTTGCAAAAAATATTTTTGTATCAAGTCCTATTTGGTTGTTTGGTGGACCATCATTGCAGATGAAGTATCTCAATTGTAGTATCATATTCGTTATTTAATTTTTTTCTATTCTATGTATAATTTTATTAGATTTAGGCATTCTTTGCTTATATAGTTTTTTTTTTTAATTAATTGTTTCTTTGCTTTTTTTTTTGTACTAATGTTATAAACTCAATTAATAAAATAAAATATTATATAATTTTTGTTCCTTATTCTTACATATATTATTTATGACTACTAGCATTTACTTTTTTTTCTATTTTGATACAAAACAAATTTAATCAATCTTAACTTTTGATATTTACTACAGAAGTTGAGATCAATCTCTTCATCATCTGCAGTGTTACACAAAAATAAGCATAAATAACTATCAAAAATACATACATACAGCAACGCGAAGCATATCTTCCACTATATTTGTAGCCCACCGCCATTGACCAGCTCGTGCGTGCACACTGATTAATGAATTGTAGGTTTCAGCATCAGGTTTGCATCTATTACAAATAACAAACGCTATAAGATGAAGCCACGATACTAATAAATCAAGAAAAAATGATAAATACCATGTTTTTTAACAATAGAAAAGGTTAATGAGTAGGCTGGTGCATGAGAATGCTTCAAATCTGAATACAAGGAAAGATGGAGAAAGCAGATATGTGTGCGACAACTTGGCTGCCCTCATTGTGACTATAGGATACACATACAAATCAGAAAAACAAACCCAAGAGTAAAAATCCATATACCATCCTCTCCAATGCCTCACAGTAAAACTAATTAAAAAAAAAAGGGAAAATTTACATAAATACCACACGATTCTAATGTATTTACATATCTAACAACCAAAATTAAATATTTATGCTTGTAAGACATACGCATGAAAAGGTGTACTCCACTTTTAAAAGATAGTGATTGTGGTATTTTTGATGTGCTGCTAACAGTTTGAGTGTTATACACGTAAATATGAATGTTTAGATGTTAGATATGTATAAAAATTGGGTGGTATGTAAGTAAATGCCCCTTAAAAAAAGTGTGTCAAAATTCTAGAAAAGAAACTAGGTGTGAACACTGCCAATTAAAATAAACTTCTTCCACCTATTTTGTGCCTTTATTGCTTCAACCAACTCCCAGATTTTCTATTAGTTTATAGTTTTCTCATTCATCATGTATCTTTCTGCTGAAGATATTGTCGATAAATGAGGTCATGTTGTGCCCTTTTGTTTGTCAATATACCCAAGTTTGACCGTAATTAACTAATATCACCAAGATTTATTTCATATTTGCATATGCAACCCATTTAAATTGCTCCTAAAACTCCTCCATTTGATAGCAAATAACTTCATAGTTTGTATGATACTATGATCCAATCCCATGGCCATGCAAAGATATGAAACCAAATAAGAATAGTTATTTCAGCTAAAGAATATATCTGCTTTCTTTTGTCATGAGAATTGGCATTCCAACAAAAGGTTTCAACAAGGCCACTGTATGAAACAATAGCTTTACACAATTTGTGCTTGTTGTAATCCTCGCCGAGTATCTTATGTGACTAAAGCACCCCTCCTGTTCAGATAAATTTGATGCAGCTATTTTTACGGTTCAACTCTTTACCAAATGTGAGACCAAGATGAAGACTCAACTAAAATCAAGCGATGATGCAAATTTGCACCCACAACCAATCTGTCAAAAATGGATGACCAAACTTTGATGACTCAACATTTTTCCCAAAAGTAAAATGTGCTCTTGAAAGTAAATGAGGCGCAATTTTAAGAGAATTTATACCCAATATGTTAATTCACTCACATGAGGATTGGTTTTACTAAAATAGTTGAAAATTGAACCCCGCATGACGACACAAGGCTCTAGTACTGTATTTGTGGTTAGTCATCACCGTGTTCACTCATGTTGTAACCAGCCTAGCTTTGTCCCTCAATGGTCCATTCTTCTAAGGCATGTTAGACTATTAGATTGAGACACTTGAGCTCTTCCTCATCGACATCAATATCCTGTTAATTATCAACATAGATTAAAAATCAATAGTTCATAATTAAGGATATTTATCTCCATAGAAATGATTAAGCATTTTAAAAAGTAATACAAAGGGTTGTTATATAAAAGCTACGATATGTCATTTTAATAAATAGTTATCATGGCCTTTTAAACTGCATTATTTGAAAGAGTAAAAGTTTCCTCCAAAAATATTTTATCCTTTAATGAATTTCTTGGGTTGGATAATGCTTCTCTCATCCTCTACGAGTTTTAAAGAGTGATGTGAGATAGCTTACTCCCATATTCCTAGGTAAATTTTATGTTCATCATATCAGCCTCCTATTGAACACCCATTCTCCTGCCCTCCAAACCTCCTTCATAATTCCGTCATTTGGTTCTCAAAACAAAAGTTATCCAAATTAATAGAAATCTCTTGCCTTTGTCATTCACTAGACAAATAACCAACTCTTATAACCACCACCAACACCTTAAACAATATAATCACCACCATTATTATTACCACCTCCATCAATCACTACTACCATTATAACAATAAACGCAATCACTATAATCATTATTTATTAATCCAAACCTAACCATAACTCTTCCTATTGTCCCTCCGGCTCCTAGTTCCCCTGTTCATATATTCTTCCCAATGTCGAACCTTCCAAATTCATATATACAATTAAATCCACAATACCATCCTCAAAATCATACATTTGAAAATAAAGTTTGAATTTACAAATTTAATTTTGAAGATTGGATGTATGATTACTCTTTATAAACTTGATCAACCTTATGTTCCCAATTTTTAATTCAAATAATTAAATTTGGCTTCAGTTTTTTTAATTCAAACTTTTGGCCATAACAATTGTAGCCACCTTATATTTTCCCCAACAGTCATCAATTGTTTAAACCTATTCAAAATAATATTTATTAAAACCTTTACTCCTTGAAATTTTACCAAATAGATAAAGCTCGTGATGATGATGATAACGAGTCCTCTCCTAGGTCAAGCCACCCACCACTCCATTTCTTGGATACCATGCATGTGGTTCTTCTTGTTGTGGCAAGTGATCATTGTTGTTGTTTCCAACTACAGATCGAAATCAACAGAAACCGGCAACAAGCTACTTTGGTTACTCCTTTTATTGCTGTGTGGATACACTCGCTATTATCACTATTACATTGAATCCTCAAAGGTAGCTATATATTCTCTATATTTCTGCTGTTGTTGCCAATTACTCTAGTTGAAGACAATACCTCCCCCCTGTAAATCCTTTTACAACTTTCTATATCATTTACAAAAGCATTCATCAACCTTCATCTAATAAATTTCTAGCTTTTTTGTGTTAGTAATCCATTATAATAAAAAAAAGGTCTATAATTTTATTTTCACTATCATATCATACACCCCGACATAAAGAAGGGGGTATCTTCGTCCAAAAGAATAAGACAGTGGATTATCTTGCATTTGAAAAATAGTAGAGATTATATTATGTCGGTGCCTAGCCTAAGGTCAATTTTGTTTTTTTATTAGCCTCAGAGCAATTTAGCCTTTTATTATTGATTATTGTTTGGTATAAATAGAATTAATAATTTAGGGTTAGGGTTATGCATGAGATTGTTGTCTTGAGTGTTAGGTTTAGATCTTGGGAGAGGTTTTCTACCTCTCAAATTGTAGAATTTGGGAGACATTGTAGGTGTTTATCTTTATGTATTACTGTCGTGTTGCTTTGATTTGGTGTTTGTGAAAAAAGACATTTGTTTGCCCTAATTTCTATGAGAAATTATCTCGGATCGTAGCAAAGTGGTATCAGAGCATTCTAAATTCTGGGAAGTTTCGTGGCGGCAACTGGACCATGGTGTGCGCAGGAAAGCCAACAAGACTACAGCAAGAAGCAATCATCAGGATTGTTGCGTACAAGAATCTACATCTCTCACAGGTAAAGAAGGGATCGTGCCTGTCGAACCTTTGTGTTGCCTTGATCACGAGCTACTTGAAACGAAGGGATTGCGGAAGCTACAAGTAAGCAACGTGGGACCGCGTTACAATCGCGTTGCAGTAAAAGCTAGCTAGGAAGAGGCCAACCGGATCGTTGTGCTATGTACTCCCTCGCGATAGACTCATGGTTAGAGCTAGCTGAGAAGGCCATGTTGGGATCATAGCTACAGAGACCTGAAACTTCCATTGGTCTCCTGAAATTGGTATCAGAGAAATTAGAGAACATGATTCGAACTACTTGGGAATCCATCAACTGCATTTCAACATACTAAGTGATGACAGCAAGGAAAGTAGATGCTTTGGAAGAGAAGGGCTAATTAAATCAGAAATAGATGAAAGGTTCTCAACTATAAATGAAAAATTTCCCTCCATTGACAGCCGATTTGAGCGCTTGGAGAAGATGATGAAGGGGCTTACTGAGATGCAATTCAAGAGCCCGTTGTCGATTTAATTTGCAAATTGTAATCAAGGGTTAACAGGAGATTCATTGTCAAATCAAAAAGAAAAGATATCGAACAAGAGAAACATAACGAGAAAAGTATCCACTATCAAGAAACCCCTCTTAAAGCTCTGTTGGGAGGTGGATTAGAAATTTCTATGGAAGAGGTTGGGTCAAAACACGGAGAAGGGGTTATGCAAGAAGTGTGAAGGAGGACAAAGAAAGATAGGAGTTGGGAAGGGGTATGACTGTGATCGGAGGGAGTTTTATCCTAGATATATGAGGGGAAACACCGGTAAGAGAAAAAGTTGGGTGGAGATGCTTGAGTTAGGAAATTGAAGATATCAATCTTCGAGAGGGAAGACACACATAGGTGGGTGTACCAGGTGAAGCAATATTTCGCAGTGAATTAACTAAATGGGGAGAAATCATGACGGCAGGGTTATGTTTAGAGGAGAAAACCCTAGTATGATTTCAATGGATGAATGCTAGAAACCCGATTAGCTCGTCGGAGGAATTTAAAGATTGCTTGTTTAAATGTTTCCAAGCCATTATGGAAGGAGATCAACACAAGCACTTCTCTGTGTTGACCGAGGAGGGGACTGTCATGGAGTATAGGGAGAGATTCAAGCTATTGTCAGGACGACTGAGAGGGATTTCTGAAACAACATTTGGAGGGAAATTTCATAAGGGTGTAAAGTTTGACATACATGCAGCTTTTTGTTTGTTGAGACAACGAGGATTGAGGAAAAATATGAAATTAGCACAATTGGTTTAAGAATAAAAAAATGCAATTGAACAGGCTAATAGGAGCAACGCAAGTGGAATGTCATGCCCAAATACTAGAATCATGACAATACCAAAAACTAAAATAGTGAAAGTCTAGAGGAAGGCTCCCCGGACATGAATAATGGGTTACGACTGAGGGCAACCTTAAAACGCCTTACGGTGACAGATGCAAGAAAAGCGGGTGAAGGGGTTATGTTTTTGATATGATGAAAAATTTGCCCCAAGACACTGTTGCAAGAATCGAATATTACAGGATCTCACAGTGAGTGACAATGAGGCATGGGAGCTTGATCAAGTAGTAATTTTCTATTATCCAGTTTGAGCACAAGCTACTTCTTTGGGAGGAGAGTATTGTTGCGTCGGTGTCTAGCCTAAACGTAATTTTATTATTATTAGCCTCAAGGTAATTTACACTTTATTATTAATTATTGTTTGTTATAAATGGGGATTAATAGTTTAAGGATAGGGTTATACATGAGATTGTTGTCTTGAGTGATAATGTAAAGTTTGGGAAAAATTTCCTATCTCCCGAATTGTAGGATCTGGGAGAGAACACCAATCTCCTAAATTATAGGTGCTTATCTTTATGCATCCGTATTGTATTGCTTTGATCTAGTGTTCGTGAAATAAAATATGCGGTTACTCTAATTTTTACGAAAAACTCCCTCGAATTGTATCAGATTAGTTCAACTCATAAATTATGAAAGAGAGGTAAGAGATAATGGCTTCTTTGTTTGCAGTGTCAAATGAGAGTATATTATATTTCTAAAAAGATAAATGGTTAGGACAATGATGCAGGTGGTTGGAGTTAAACAATATTATAATAACTTGCATTTTCTATCTCTATTTACAAGGGCTTTACACGTCATGATATTAATACATGCTCGTATTAAACTTGATTGAATAGACCTTCAATATCATGCACATAGTGTTACAACTTACGCTTTTATTAAAAATTCTCTATTACCTCAAAAATATTGTACTTATTGGTGTTTGATGTGCTTACAAGAATCTAGCTTATGTGATCAAGTAGATCATTACTTTTGTGCTTTTGAGTTGCACCGATCACACGTATAGCCTTCTATAAGCCACAAAAAACAACATCTCCTATCTTAGTCGCACTTCTGTTGACTTTCTTTTTATTAGTTTATTTAAATTCTCTTGTGCATAATGTGTGAATTTGAATTGAAAGAGTTTACAAAAATAAGCCAACACTTGAATTAGAGATATTTATTTATGTGCTTTATACCATTCATTGAATTAGTCGTGGCTCCTTCGAAATATTTTTTGATTATTTTAGAAAACTTAAAATTAATAATAAACATTGCATATAAAGGAAAATAAATAGCATGATAAGACTCCCTCAGCTACATTCTCTAGTTTATATTTGCTATGATGGTGAGGTCTGGCATACATTTTGAAAAATATTTGAGGGTGGTCAGAACATTTTACGTATTAAGAAAAGATTTCAACATGATATTTAATACATTTAGTATTTATACCTCCATTCTTGCATCTCAAAAAAAAGACCGCGTGCTTGATCAATCTGGTTATGCCTGGCATGCATTCTTATCATCATGTTGTAAATGTCAGTATGAGGACAATAGTTCTTTTGAGCTTTCATCCACTGAAAAACTTGAACAGTACATTCAAGGGAGCCTTTATTGCTCATCTCCTACATCAGAGACCAAAAAGATGAAAAGGCATAAATTTCTAAAAGTAAATTAAAAAACAAATAAATTGTAATTTGAGAAAAAAACAGAGACATGATCATAATTTGTAAATCAGGTAAAAGCAATATAACTTCAAAGGGATATAGCCATCCTACAAAAAAAAAGAAGATTTATATGCATGTCATTCAATTCCTCGGTATTTACATATCTAACATGTAAACCCAATTTTTTATGTACAGACCGCCTTATCTATGAATGAAAAGGTGTATTTTACATCTTAAGAGTTACAATGGCGGTACTTTTGATGTGATATGAAAGATTAGGGCGGTATACAACAACAACAACAACAAAGCCTTAATCCCACTTAAGGTGGTATAAATATAAGTATAGATGATGGATGTATAAATACATATGAATTGGGCGGTATGCCCCAAAAATGAAAATAACAATGTCCTACATCAAATAAATCAAATAAGAAACCGTTTAAACCCATGGTGACGAACTAAAACTCGTTAAAATGATTGCCTATAACATAATTAAAAGCTCCCAACAAAGTGATCGTAACAGCTGATAACTATCATAGAAATCAATTACACGTCTAGTTATCAAACTTTAGTTAGCATTTATCCACAAAAGAACTTTAGCTCAAGTGATATGTTTGTTCATCAAATCCTTCGCTAGAGATCACGAGTTTGAGCCCGGTTATTGGCTTTATTTAGCTAAATATTTACAGCTCCCAACATCTATACTTGCATTGTGTCACCCTCCATTGTGATTGGACTCATGCATGATATAACTGATTTTTCTGTCATACTTTCAATTAATTAAATATTTGGCATAAATTTATATCCTTTAAAAATAAAAAAATTAAAAAAAAATCTAAGAACATCTATAACTCCTTACACACAATGACGAAAAAAAGAAAATTCCTTTCTTCATCCAAATCTAAACTTACATAACCCGAAAAGCTAAATGTACAGTAATTTTATATAAAATCAAAGGTGTCAAATGCCATTTTATATAACGTAAGCTACTCCAAGAGACTAATTAATTTACTAAAAATAGGGATGTAAGCGAGTCAAGCTTGAACGATCGATGATCTTTTTTGACTGCCCTAGCTAAAACATGCCATTGTAAGGGTTTTCTAAAACGGCAAAACATTTAATCACAATTACATGGATGAAACAACTTGTGCTTCTACTTATAGGAGGTGGGTTTGTTCTACTTCTGCTTCTTGTTAATGTCTCAATAAAACCCGCAGGCCACTTGCTGCCTCTTATAAGAAGACAAAAACAACCTAATGCTTTTATCTTAACCCTGAACATGTATGCCGTGCTTTTTTAGTAATTCCAGTAACACATTACGGTGTAATGGGAAGTTCCAGGCGAAAAGATCCACAGGGAATATTGAATAGGGGATTTGACAACATGAGCTTATTTAGGGCATAACTCACTATTGTGAAAGAAAATAGTTCCGGAAAGATTAAGAATCAATTCATTCTCTCCCAACCTGCACAAAAACTCACGTTAGAATTATCACTTGCAGCAATGGCATGGCTGCAAATGTTGCTGCTTCCACCACCGTGGCAGCAAAATTATGGATTTCATATATGCTTATTATGGTCTATTGACATCGGAACAAACAAAACCAAAACCTTCACACTAATGAGCAGAGAAAGCCAAGAAAATACCCTAATAAGCAGTACAAAATTCTTCCTTGCGAAGCGGCCCACCCAGCAATTGAGGACGGCGTCCACATCGTCCCAGTGGTTGAGTCTGAGCAGCCGCTCGACTACCTCCGATAACTTCCAATCCTTCTGCAATCGACTACCATAGACACGGAGACGATATCGCGCCGGTATCTGTTCCCGACCAACGCCGGCCACCTCGACAGAAACGCTGCTCTCGCCCTTGTCGTAGTCGACGGAGCCCACCAGCCTTCTCTCGTCCCATGATCTCTTCTTACCAGCCTCGGAGGCCGAGCGCAGGGTTTCAAGGTTGCTCGAGGAGGGCCTTGAATGCGAGTGCTTCTCAGCCGGTGGGGGAGGAAGCGGGGGTTGGGGAAAGCTGCAGCTCATTGCGAGTGAGGGGAAGATAGCGCTCAGGCTCGTGTTCGTGTGGGAAATTTAACTTTATCCGTCCAATATATATA